AAAATGATTTTGATCATTTAACAAGAGAGATTAAACCTAAAAATTGAGATTTTCTAACATATTTAAATTAGCAAGTCGGAAAGATATATTAATTTCGAAAGAACCAGCTATCTTACTTATTGAGAACGATGGGAAAAAAATGAGACTTGGAATTCTCTAAGAAAAGTTTAACTTTGGTTGAAGATGTAAATTGGATAGGTGAAATAAGGATATGTATAATCACTACCAATTCCAAGTACACCATGTTGAGAATAAAAAGTCTATTACCCAATACACTCAAAAATTTATTTTTCAAATCATCTTATATTATAATTTCATTGCAAATTTCACATGTCGTAGTGTCTATGGATCAAACCAATAGAATGACTAAAAAAAAGAATAAAAAATAATATTATATAACTCAAAAATCTCTTTTAGTCTAATATCTAATTGTAAATATTCCATCACATTACAAATTACTTAATATTTGTCGATGCTGCAAATGTTTATGATTATTTAGCATTACATTCAAGTTCAACAATTCCAAGATACATCTTTTTAGCAAAAAAAATTATCTAAAATTTAAAAATCGAATTCAAACGGCTTATTTATCTACTGATTTTTTTTTGGCAATTTATAGACCTAATCTTGTTAATGTACAACCTAATTCATAAAGTTAAAACATATTTAATAGAATTCATCTGAATTTTCAAGATTTTGATACCAATTTATTTAATAGGATGACTTTTATATTTAATCTTAATATTAATTTATCAATTGCTATAGTATAATTTGAATCATGAATTCAAATAGCTAGAAATGGATGCATTATTCTAAGAAAAAGATTAATTTATTCAGTGTTTAAATTAAGGAATAATCATTTAGGCTTCTTGTACGTAGTTTAACTACTCCAAAACATAAATAGAAATTTTAATAATTCAAATCCATTTATTCATTCATTCTATTTTATATATGTTCAAATAAACATCGCCACTCTTTTAAATATTGAAGACGAAAAAAAGTATTCCAATTTTGATAAATACATGCCAATAAAATCTCTTTTCTTTACATGATTCATTAACATATTCATTAAACATCCTTAGTGTGATATTAATTTTGGCATTTCAAAGTTATTTCTTCAGATTAATTCATTTACTATTTCAATCAAAATACTTTTATAATTACAACCGATTCAGTATATTTATATTTTTAAAATTTTAAATCTAGCATCTTCACAATAATTAA